GCCACATTGACCAGGGATGAGAAATGAAATTTATAAACTTTAGATTTCTCCTCTCGACACTTTAGGTTAGCACCTGGAACCCTTTCATCAGAGTGGCTTGACTAAGAATGCATATATCATCATAAAATTTAATGCAGAATATATGGAGAATAAAAATATATCTAGTTAATAATTCATGAAAGATGGCGCTCAAACTTTTTGTCATTTAGTTTCTGAAGCAATCTAATGATAGTCATGAATTCTGACTGAATGACTTTTGCTAAGATGTTCTTATAATTTAAAGTTCTCTCTCTGGAATATGGTTAAGTAGTCCCCTTTCTTGTAACTGAGAATAATTGAAGAACAGCATTATTTACTCCTCCAGAGAAATTGAGAATTATCTAACAAGATATCCTAAAAAAGAAAGATGTTACTTTATGGTGAATCTGATACTGTATTCCATGTGTCTGACTTGGCATATGTTTCTGTTATTTGATTCTCACCTTTTCCAAACGAAGTGTTTTTTTATAGAATCTTTATTAAGCAAGACTTTGAAGTTCTTATGGACCACTGCATTTGCGGGTTGCTTTTTAAAACTTAATAATCCTAATAACCTTATTGAGTTGAATGCAAGTTTGTAAATGAAAATTGATCTTCTATGTCGATTGTTATATCCATCCTTTTCCTCCTTTTCATGAATTCCTCAGTATCTTTTTTGATTTATATGTATCGGTTTGGTTTTATCTATGTAATGATGCTGTACAGATAATGGGTAGGATACAGAAAAGAAAAAAAAAAGAAGAGGGGATGGGAGTTGGTTGTTAAGCAGAGAGAAATTATCTCTTGTTTTAAAGATTAAGGAAATTTTTGAATGCATGTTTTGATAGTCATATTTTGATAAGTTGTGCTGGATCGGCAGGTCATGTTTTGATAAGAGAATATTAAATCTTCCTGGATCGGTAGTCCATGTTTTGATAAATTATTATAAATGTTGGAAAGACCCCCTGGATTAGGCCTTAGTGTCTAGAAAAAATGTGATATCTCAATAACTGCTTGATCTGATCCATCAGTTGGTTGATCAATTAAGTTGTGGCCTGTTCAATATCATTTGGACTTAAAGTTGGATTTATTTTGATCTCGCCAATTGCCAGCCTGGACCGCAGGTGATGATTGGCTGAATGTCTTCACCTGAACTAGAAAGTTTAGAGATAATAATGCGTTGCGTGCAGAGTATTGGTGCTTGGTAATATAGAGTTGGGATATAATGGCCTTATTTAGGTTCAGTGTTAATTTTTGGAGCATGTTCAGCTCAACGCATTGAAGTTATATGATGCTCCTGTTAATCCAGACAATTTTTAGCTTAATAGTGCTCTAAACTTTCTTAATAAGAATGTGAACAGGAGTATTTGCTTTAGCTTTGAAGATGAAAGTGACAAGAAAGCCAATTCGGTAGACTTTAGATGAGGTACTCCTGTAAAGACAAGTGAAATACTGTCTTTTGGATTCTTATTTTTATTATCAACAAAAATCAATGATGTTGAATTGAATTAAATGAGCTAGCTTCCATAGGAAATCATGTAGCTAGTTGCATATAAGTTAATTGTATAAACTGCAAATCATCATAATATCTCTTACAATCTGTTTGGTGCTTTATGCTAAGAAGCCATAAACTTTGTAGGTTTAAAAACTTCAACTAGAGCTAGTCAATGAGAAAATTCATACTGGAATGAGTTATAGACGAGAGAAAAGACAGAATGAAATTGGAAGCGAGAAGAGAAAACTTGGTTGGGAGCAGTGAATCAGAGTATAGTGGCTTTTCATTCCCGGTGACATTGATAACCAATTCCAGAAAGGGTTCCTAAAGCCAGTGTAATACCATTCATACGATGTATTTTCGCTTGCTTTGTATGCTTATTTTTATCTGGACTTGGAATGATCAAAACAGATGCATAATCAAGCCCTTAGCGAAAGCCACATTTAAGAGTATTTGTTTTGATGACTTATTTTCTACATTGTTAACCAACTGCGGTAACCATCTGCAGATTTATAATCAAACACTTGTGCTGTTTTTACAGGATTAATGCACTTGTCGATCACTTCAAGATGGCTTTGGATTGCTTCTTTGCCGTGTGGTTTGTTGTTGGAAATGTGTGGATATTCGGTGGGCGTGCCTCTTCTGAGGATGCACCTAACTTGTACAGGTGTGCATAGAATATTTTTCTTATGCATCTTGATCATATATGGTCATCAATCTTTAATGTTACGTATTTCATTAATCACAGGTTATGTATAGTGTTCCTTACATTCAGCTGTATTGGATATGCCATGCCTTTCATTTTGTGTGCAATTATCTGCTGCTGCTTGCCATGCATTATATCCATCCTCGGCTTTAGAGAAGATATGGGCCATGACAGAGGTGCTACTTCTGAGCTAATAAATGCACTTCCAACCTACAAGTTTAAATCTAAGCGGCATTGTATCAAGGACGAGTCTGGAAGTAACTCGGATGGTCAGAGTGATGGTGGGATTTTGGCACCTGGCACTGACAAAGAGCGAATTGTTTCTGCCGAAGATGCTGTGAGTTCTATTACATTTGTTGATATCCATCATCGAGTCGTATCTGCTAAAAATGCACAGCAGTTTTGAGCATGATCTTTGGCTTTGTATGTAAAATTAATGTGTGATTAGCAACGAATACAGGTTATAAATGACCATATTTGGTTTGTTTATTCTTCCGTTCTTTTTTGTAGGTCTGTTGCATATGCCTGGCGAAATATGTGGACAATGAGGAGCTTCGCGAACTTCCATGCAGCCATTTTTTCCACATGGACTGTGTGGACAAATGGCTTAAGATAAATGCGCTCTGCCCCCTCTGCAAATCGGAGGTCGGAAACACCACCACATCTTGAGCGACATGCAGTTGACATCTTGATAATGGCAGTAAAGAGTGGGAAGTGGTGTAGAAACAGTGTAAAGCAATGTAGATGCCTATTCTTACTGGCAGAGATGTACCAATCTACAATCTGGAATTGAAAACTCTTCCGAGTCCGCCTGCATCTGTAAATTTATGTATGGAAGAGTCTGTAATCGATTAGGCTCTTGTCATTCTTTTTAATGGTTGCATTGGGTGGTTCTTGCAGCTTTGATGGCTATATATATCGTCTGTTTATTGTGCTTTCATGCACGATATGAGAAATATGTTGTTTAAATTGTTCGCCGTGCTTAAAGATCATATCATGCAGAATTGTAGTTTCTCGATACTTAATTTATGAGGGTGGAATTGTCGAGTACTTGGCTTATCGTCATACTTAAAGATCATTCATCTATGATTAACACGTTGACAAGGATTACTATGATAGATAATTGGTTAGGATTACTAAGGTACTTACGTGCTTAGAATATTTTTTTGTTTAATAAAGAGTAAAGGGAATACTTTGAAATATGTTTAATTACTTAAGATGTTTTTTTATTATGATCAGACAAACATGGATACAATTCAGAATATATTGAGCATTTCAAATTCTTCTTTGTCTTGGACATTATGAAATGTGTCAATCACATTAAGTGCTTCTTTGTCTTAGGTAGACATATAAAGACCCTCTTTGACATTTTAAATATACTTTTTTGTCCTATGAGATATTGTGTAAAAATAAGATAACTTGGTTTGGTAGGCTCCAAATGAGCTAATGAGGTTGAATTAGCTAAACCCAAGTTGGATGAAGAACTTTGCCTAATGGTCAAACAAATTAACTTGACCTATGCTAGTTATTCAAATCAACCCAAACTAAGTTGGTCGATCAAAATCGACTTAAATTGAGTTGGTTGAGCAAATTGACTCGATTTAGATTGGTCGATCAAAATTATATGATTGAGACACAGGAAATCTTCTTATATAATTCTGTACAAATATTAAACATATATAGTTTATTAGTACAATGGTAAAAAATAAAGACTTTCAAAATATTATTGAAGACTTAACGAGAAAGAAGTGAAATTTTTATTTATTTATGATATGGGGTTAAAGGAAGAACGGTCTCAATTGTATTCAAGGAAATGATTTTTTGATTCAAAAAGAAGGCGATCGAAGTTAGGGCAAAACTTAATGTTATGCTCACCCGTAATAAAGGCTAATTTAATGTCCCTACCAAGATGATAATGACCAAGGACAAATGCCTTCTCTGTAGACGACTAGGTAGGTTTTCTATACACAATATTAGGGATTATATTAGAAAATAATTGATTCTTTAGTCATCTCTCGTTTTAAGAAATGCATGTCTTGAAAATTATTATCATTACAAAAGATGCAATCATTTTGAAGATATAGCCAACTTGAGGAAGTGATTAACGTAGAGAGATTGAATTATCCAGACACAATCTTCCCCTTGTTGAGGCCATCTTTATCCTCAACTAACTATTCGGACTTATCATTGGTAGTATTAAGAATATTACCTAAGACTGATTGTGCAATTGAAGTTAGAAGATGAGTTTTTCATTGATATGTTATCGTGGGACTTCTATGTTTAATTTTACTTATGATATTGCTCGAGGATCATCTTTCTAATGCCAATGATTTCATCGTTAATTTAGTTTGAAAAATTAGTATGACCTAATTCATTTTTGATATAATATCATGTATAGTATTAAGAACATAAATGTGTAAAATATATTTATAAAGATAGAGAGAATTGAATCATGGATAGTCGATATTTCATCTATAAAATAAGATTATATCGAGTGTTATTAGTAAAATTTTTTTATCGATTTAGTATTGTTTATATGTGTCTACATATGGTAAATAATTATTTATTATTATTTTTTTTATGAAAATATACTTCAGAAGATTAATTTATATAATATCATTATTGTAAGGCCCATCCAATAAGCTCTTCGTTACTTGCAGCAAAATGGGAGAAGTCAACGGTTTATTTTGACCAATAACCCGGACCGACAAAATCGAACCGAACCGCACCGCGCCGCCCGGTTCGATCATAGCTTTGCAAACATTTAAGCCATCGGAAACCCTCTCCTGCACGCATTCTCTCGCCCCCCTTGCCGATCTTAGGGTTTGGTTTCTCCGCTTCGGCTCCACATCGCCTCGAAAATGGTGAGCTTCTTATCGATTCACTCTTGTTGGTCCCGAATATACATGTCGGTTCTAGCTTGCCGTGTTCGTTTGCAGTTTTTTGTTAATCGTCTGGCCTTTCCGTAGTTTTTTTTTCTTTTAATTTTTCTTGTGGCGGCGTCCTTTTATCTGGTGTCGAGATTATCGTGTTTCGTTTCCTCGTGTTGTTACAGCTGGTGTTTAATCTGAACAATTAGTGAAGAAGGGTCGTAATAGTTTTATGAAAATAAGGGGATTTTGATACAGATTTGCTTGCTTGGGAAGAAATTGATTGGAAGTTGGTTTCAGATCTGTTCTCGTTTTTTTAATGTTCCTGCCAATGATTTTAACTTGGCTATGAGAACCTTGGGATCGCTGAACTAATTTACACAAATTTCTGGGTAGAATTCGTCGTAATATTCTTCTATATCAAAAATGTATTTTTTACCACAATTTTTATGTTAAATGTTTACCTGCGTTATGAATTCTGATATAAACGATTGGTCAATGCAGGAAGAGAATCTAGATGCTGCAATAGAATCCCTATTGAATGTGGAGAAGCAGATGAGGCTTGCCGGTGATGTGGCTGGCACAAAGAAAGCTGTTCTTGACATTGTGGAGCTTTGCTACAAAGCACGTGCATGGAAGACACTGAATGATCAGATTGTTCTTCTGTCAAAGAGAAGAGGACAACTTAAGCAGGTAAGCTCTTGGAAAGTTAGCTTTCCATCAAATTTTTGTAGATTTAACTCTGTCATTGTAGAAAACACCTATGTGCATGTGTTTGCGGTGTAAGCCATTTTTTGTTCTACTTGTGCGGTTGAGCCTTAGGATTGTGAACTCACCAATCTAAAAACACAAGTATTTGCCAACTAAGATTTTTAAGCATATAAAAGTATATGTTGGACTTAGATGAATCACATGAATTATTTTCTGCCTCGATGTTAAATGCTTTGCATGTAATTTCTTGCTCTTCTGTTTGATGCATAGTGGAACTTGTTGTTCAGCAATTCTGTTGACAACGTATGGACCTTAACTTCATGCTCAGATGTTTTCTGTTGGCTCTTTGTATTACTGACTGAAGTATGTTGTTGGGCTTCTATCAGATTAAGTATTACAGAAAACTATCAATATTGCTATGTTCTTTGTTTGCAAATAACCATTCTTTTTCTTCAAGATTTGGATATAGGTCACGTCTGTTGTGTAGCATCTTGAGTATATATTTTTCATCTGGGGAATTGAATCTTAGGAAACCACTGTATGGAACTTTGTTATTATCCTTTATTGCAAGGTGCATCATCATGTGCAGAAAAGATATCTAATGATCTTTTCTTGATTGAATACTAGATAGCTATGGTATGGGCCTGTTTTGTGGCTGTAACTCAACTTTGCCCTACATTCCAACTGTTTTCTATGGTGATTGTATAACTCTTGTGGCATTCTCATCTTCCATTTAATGCCTTTCTGCAAACTGATATAATTGTGACTGTTCTGATATTAGTTAGATCTTTGATTTTTAAAAATATTAAGTGAATTACAGTGTTGTTGATTTTAATGGTATAATGTGCCATTTGCATTATGATATTTATTTTTTTCTTGTGCAAATTCATTTATGCTTTTCTTCTGATATGCTATTGTTCCTTAGATTTGAACATGAGATGTTTAATTGAGTGAGCAGATGATGAACCTGCTTTGTTGTACCTGTTGTTACTTTTCTATAGAATTACCCTAGTCGACACTAGCTATAATTTATAACTCTAATAACCACAAAGCTACAGGATTACACATCTATGTGTTTCTCGGAGCCAAGGTTAACAAATTCAGATTCAATTTCAGGATTTTATTGGGGACTTGGGATCATAATCAGTTTGAATATGAATCATGGGATTGACTCATAAGTTAGTTGAATTTCAAAAGTGATGATAATTATGTAGGGATTTGTTAAAGATCAATGCAGCCTATTGAATCTGCCGAGATTGGTTATGTCTGTTGTACCTGTTGGGATGATCTGGAAACCACAAGAACTTCTTTGCAATCTGCTTTGTTTCATGTTGCTCTCCTTGTTGCTCACCATCTAGCATCTGCCTTGAATGCTCTTCTTGACATGTGCCTAACCTGCACCATTTATGTCAGCCCATATAAAAAATGCAAGAGTTGTGAACTTTCTAGTTGATAATAATTGTGTATATAAGATCATATCCTTACTGGCCTAAAACTTGTGTGTTGCAAGAAGTCAAACAAGGAAAAGAACTAGTGTTTGTACTTTAAAAATAATTTTATTCTTTAGGGTTCATTGACAAAATAATGCTCAGTGCAGCTGTGTACATGACCTTTCACAATATGAAAAGAATACTTGGATCTTACTTAGGAGATTACCGTGTTTGGAATGTTGTTTTAATTATGATGGTGATAACTTTATGTTGGTTTTTGGTTTCCTGTCAGTGATATTATCTCCTTGTTTATTAGCTGAATGTCTTGACAGGATCAAGTGCCAAATTCTTAAGTAATTACCTTTGAGTATGTTTTATTTGATAATTAATATTGGATTGTTGACATTTTAATGCTTTGATGCTTTGATTTCCTTATTCCCATTTTATGGAAGAAATTGGTCTACCTATTCCATACACATTTCTAATTTAGTGCTGGTTTAACTTATTATCTGTTATCATTTTCTTTAAGGCTGTAACTGCCATGGTGCAAAAAGCAATGCTGTACATTGATGACACACCTGATCTTGAAACACGTATAGAGTTGATCAAAACACTTAACAGTGTCTCAGCTGGGAAGGTGAATGACATATTTAAGTTGGATTTCAAGGCTGCTATTCTAATGTGTCATATCTGCAATATTCTTTATATGGACTCAGAAGCTATTTTCTTGTTCCTTTTTTAGATATATGTTGAGATAGAGAGGGCACGCTTGATTAAAAAACTTGCGAAGATTAAAGAAGACCAAGGCCTTATTGCTGAGGCTGCTGATTTGATGCAAGAAATTGCTGTAAGTTGAGGCTTAATTTTATATTCTTATGTTTCACAGGCACGTTGTGAAAGTCTAAAATAGTGCCAGGAATGTGTTCCTTCTTATTAGTTGTTTGTTTATTCTTGATAAGTTGTTTTATTTTGCAATTCTGTTGATCTCATTTTGGTTGGCATGATTCTCAGGTGGAGACTTTTGGAGCAATGGCCAAAACAGAAAAGATTGCTTTCATTCTTGAACAAGTATAATATCATGATAACCTTTTTTTTGATAAATGACCCAACTTTAGTGGCATAAACACTGTTGCTTACAGATGCTTAAAAAAAATTCCAGGTACGATTGTGCTTGGATCGTCAGGATTATGTGCGGGCACAGATATTGTCAAGAAAAATTAGTCCTAGGGTGTTTGATGCTGATGCTTCAAAGGAAAAAAAGAAGCCAAAGGAAGGTGACAATATTGTGCAAGAGGCTCCTGCAGATATACCTTCACTCTTGGAGTTGAAGCGCATCTACTATGAGCTAATGATTCGGTAACTTCATTTGATACTTTCTGGATCAATCAGTTGTTTGATTGTGGATCATCTATCTTATTCTGATTGTGAAACATTTGTCATAATGTAATTAATAGGTTTTTGGCCCTGCCATAAATTTTGGAGTGTTCTTGTTATATGCTGTTGGAATCTGGTGCATGAACATGATATATCTTGTGGGACAGTGGAGGTGCTTGTTTGCTTAATGGCATACCTTGGTGTTTTTGAATATAGAAGTCTAGTTATATCAACTGATAAAAACATATATCAGAGATTGATATCTCCTATAACATCATGCCTAGTCTTAATCTGTATATAAACCCATTAAAGCATTTAATTTTTTGAAGATTAATATCGTTGTTTAATATATCTAAGTTCTTTCATTTTTTTTAGAAGAATAAGGATCTCATCTGGTTGAACAATGTCCACTTGTCATCTTAAGACAAGAAACTTTATGTGTGAATGATAGGCCTATGCATATTAATGTTGATGTAATACAACAATAACAATAACTGTAAAACTGTAAGTCTCAACTATTTGGGATCGGCTACATAAATTTTTTTTCATCATTGAGATCTATGTGCTTAGTTAAGTTTAGAGTACTTAAAGTTTTATTTATAGTTTCTATTAAAATCTACCTCGCTGTCATTGATGCTGATATAATAGTTCTGCATAATACTCATATGAGATTTCTTTTATAGTCATGTAGTTTACTGCTTGAGAGAGTGCAGGCAATGTTGTTATGGAAATTGCCTAGACGCCGGTGGCGATACCTGAGTTGTAAAGACGCATTAGGACATCTTGGTTATATGCTTACTTAGACCACCATATGAAAACACATTAATGCATGCATTTGTGTATATGATATGAATATATATCTAGGATGCAGTGTATTTACTCATATATCACTTTACTTGAGACTTGTATACACTTATTCGAGTTTAGCTGCTTTTGTAAATGTGGTATGTTTTCAAGTTTTTGCTATGGAGCTGTTGGGCCTGGACCACCCATGAAGAGTTTACGTTTGAGTTGAATATTGTAAATTTTCTTATTATTTTCAGATGTATTTTGGTCCATATCACTAGTTATTTTGGATAAGGTTAAGCATCATTCTTGAGTTGTATTCTCTGTTTTGAATCTTGCTTGTATTCTTTAATGAATAGTTTCAGCTATCTCTCTCAAGTAGATCCCTTTTAAGGCTCCATTGACTTTTTAGCTGGAGCCAAATAGGACATTTGATATCCAAAGAAAGAGGAAAGCCCCTCTTGGCATTCACCACATTTTATTGGGGGATACTTGGAACTGTTCCCTTGGAAGTTATTTCCCTCTGTGGTGCTTGCATCTTGCACTAAAGTGATCTGGTTTTTCTATGGTTGGGGCATATGTATTAATAAAGTTGCACCAGAGATGAGATTCACTAAAGGGAGAGACTCAATGGTTGAGGCTGCTGCTAATGTGGGGTTTGGAGAGGGTTAATCTATGCAACTTTAGCCTACAAGTGGAGAGGATAATCCTGGGACATTAATTCTGATCATTTAGGTCGCAAAAGAGCAAACTTACCATTGTATAAGGCCTACTTCTAGAAATAAGATGCATTATTTATGAATATTTCTTCTCAAGTTTAAGTCATGAAATCTCTAAGCTGATGCCCCAGGAATGAATGACTGATAGCTCCTTTCCTCCTTACGGTGCAGCTACCATTCTCATAACAATGATTACCTGGAAATTTGCCGGAGTTACAAGTCGATATATGATATTCCATCTGTAAAGGAGGACCCAGCACAGTGGATTCCGGTAAAAGTTTGTTTACTTGTTGGTTTCCTTGGAATATTGGACAGAGCTATTTTTCTTGGAATAATTGTCAGAGCTATTCTCAGAAGAATTCTTCTTGTAGGTGCTTAGAAAAATCTGCTGGTATTTGGTGTTGGCGCCACATGACCCTATGCAATCAAGTCTTCTCAACTCTACTCTAGAAGATAAAAATCTTTTTGAACTTGCTAATTTTCGGTAGGATGTGTTCAATGTTTTGTACATTATATAATTACTATTAACTTAGTTTGATTATCAGCTACTTTGGTCTCATATGCTGTTTCTATTTTCTCCCCATTTTACTAGTTTTATGTTGAAGCAACTTGTGACAATGGAAGTTATCCACTGGGCAACTCTTTGGGAGACTTACAAGGATGAGTTTGAAAATGAGAAGAATCTTCTTGGAGGGTCTTTGGGCCCCAAGGCTGCAGAAGATCTAAAGCTGAGGATTATTGAACATGTATGTATCTTTTATTGACTACTATCAAGTTTTTTAACTTGCCTTTTTTATTGTTTTCTGGAACTAAAATTTTATTTTGTCACATTTTCAGAATATTTTGGTAGTGTCAAAGTACTATTCGAGGATAACCTTAAAACGTCTCTCTGAATTACTATGCCTCAGTTTGCAGGTTTGGTTTATCATCCTTTCTTGAACATATTGTTGTTTGCTTGATTATGTGATCCCCATCTCTTTTTTTTTCTGAGTTCTCTTGCTGTTGATATTATTGCATAAGCATGATAAGTAGGGAAGTCTCTCTAGCATGATCATTCTTTTCAAGATTTTTGATTGACTAGGTATGGGAACTAGGAATAGACTTTTGATTGGATAACTTTTTAAGATTTGGTGGTGTTGTTATGTTGCTTGTCACTTGATCATAGATCTCAAGAATAAAATTGCTTGTGAATGACATGCCTCTGAATCTATATCACTTGCACACTGCAGGCACTTCCTTCAACGAATTACTTTTATTTTTCAATAACTTCTCATAATGATCTAACATCTAAACCTGTTACTTGGTCATCTTCTTATTTTAAAAAAATGGGATTAGATTCTTGCAGCTTTACATGAAAAATGTTACTTGGTCATCTAAACCTGTTACTTGGTCATCTTCCTATTTCAAAGTTTGGAACTATAATTTCTTTATTTTGTGGCAAACTGGTCTGCGGCATCAAAATTTGACTTCTTTTTTAAGTTTGGAACCAAAATTTCATTCTTTTTCTTTGTTTGCAAGTTTCAAGTTTAAATGTTTCTCCACCTACACGGTGAGTGGAGGTTCAGTGAATTGTCATATGCAAATAAATAATGCATAAATTAAGTGCATTGTCATATGAAAATAAGATGCTTAAATTAAAATGTGCCCATCCGTTGGTTGCTATGTGCTAATTTGGCTTGCCTATATTCTAATATGAGCTGCATGAGATTTGATTTGCAACTTCCTTGTTTTAGTGCTCAGTCATTTATATCACTCAATAGGGGTCCATGGTTTATTAAAAAAGAAAAAACTTAATTATAAAGAAGTTGAGTTGCTGTTACGCTTTTCAACCAGAATGAGACCCCATCTGCAAATTTCTTTTTTTTTCTTCTCTTCTCCTTTGCTAGGTTTAGGATACCTTGTAATATCTTTTACCTTCTATTTTGCATCTCTAATTTATCTATCACCTGTTCACAAATCTCCCAAAAACTGTGGATGTCTAAATGTTCCTTGTCGCATAAGTTATGAAAATTTCATCAAGGACATTGTTGATGCATAATTCTTACAAGGCATTGGAGAGGCATGGATTACTAATCAGATGATTTCATATCATGACTACATGACAAGTTAAAATTTTGATTTTTGTGGAGGTAATGACTGACTCTTTCTGATTGTTGATGCCAAAACTTTTCTAAATGTTCCATTCTTTTAATTCTATATATGAACTTGTACTCTTGGCTGCTGGCCACCAGCCTCCAGTCTCCTCCAAATGTTAATCTAGAATTCATTAAGTTTCTTTGTTCTATGTGGAAGTCTTTTGTCTATTTTGATTTACAAGTGCCAAATTTTATCAGAATTTGGAAGTGGCTTCTTTTTTTTTCCCACAATTTTGGTTGCACAAAAGCTAAAAAGAAATACAATACGTAAATTTATGAAAATGCTCATGGAGAACCTTATGTTGACCTTTGCCTAGGTGAAACATATAACTTTGATCTTTGTAAATATGGTGCCTGATGTCATTTCCAAAACTCCAAGATTCCTTTCTTGTATCAAAGAGATGGAAAAGAAAAAAACAAACAAACAAAAGGGAAATAAAGGGCTTAGTTGATGATTTATTCTTTCTGCACTAAGCTAGTGCTGCCTCTCCTGATCAGTAATATCTTATTGCCGTGATTTTTTTTCTTTCTATTTATCGATTTCTTGTGACATAGAAAGTAACATTCCTCCAGTCAAGCTAATTTGAAGACTGGCATTCCGCCTATTATTGCTTTGTCTGATTTAAGGATGAAAGCAACATTTTGTTCCCTTGTAGTCCTCTCAGCATATTGGATGAAATTGTGAAGGATGGTTTTTGCATTGGTGCTCCTGTTTAAGTAGATTTATCACGGGAGTATCGTTCTCATTAGATTTGGTGCCTGATCTGAAGCCACTTGTTACTCTTTCAGGAGGCGGAGAAGCATCTTTCGGATATGGTAGTCTCGAAAGCCCTGGTTGCCAAGATCGACAGACCCATGGGAATTGTGTGTTTCCAGAGAGCCAAGGACAGCAACGACATCCTCAACTCCTGGGCAATGAACTTGGAGAAGCTGCTCGACCTCGTTGAAAAGAGCTGCCACCAGATTCACAAGGAGACCATGATTCACAAAGCTGTTTTGAAGGCCTAGGTTTAATTTAATATCTTGATCGGAGTATACTTTTTGTATTGTTTCACCAGAATGTGTCAGATTTAAGCTGATGATAATCCTGTTTCAGTATTCCAAATCTCCTCGGCTATCATTTCTTTTGCTGGGGCTATTGCATGTGGAAACTCGAGGCATTCATTCCTTTCATATATACTGAACAATTTCTACCATCCTATTAATGCAACTGTCTTGTGTTTCTGATATCATGGTGGTAAAAACTATATGCAGGCTTTGAATCTGATTACGTAGATCCGAGCACAACGCTTTGTGATTGCGATCCCAGCAATTGCGTATCAGAGGAGGGAAGCTTCTTGGATTCTCCTGTGCTGAATCGCTAAGGTGCATTATTCAACTACTGTTGTTGACTCAACCATATTCATCTATTTCCATCCCTCTTCCATCTTTGCTACATCATCTATCTCATCAACTGCCATTCTTATTGACCAGTGGATTTGAGGTGATATATGATCAAGTTGTGATGCCATGTGTGTTATCCTTTTTCTCTCTTTTTCCTTTTCAGATGCTCCATTCAAAAAGTTAATTTGTGTCCAGAGCGTTGACCAAACTACCAAAATGCATGCCAACATCATCGAACAGTATCCATAGGCTCCTTGACTACCTTGAAAACAAAACTTCTTCATCCAAAGCTAATCATTTGACTAGTTGTTTCTATCTTAATTGCTTGCTGGGTCCATTTTGGGTGTTCTCGCACCAACTAAATGGGACCTGATGTCAACCTCTTTATGGGGTTCCATCCAATCATGAAAAGAAAATTTCTCATCATGCTTCTAGACTTCTTGTTAGACTCGATAGTATGTATGATCTTAAATAAGATCGTGGTCATGAACATCCAAAATGCATCCAAACTTAAATATGATCTCTATACATCCCATGAGATTCACATAGAAGCTAAGGATTCTATGAGTTGTGTCACATAATAAATTTGTGGAGTTACATTTAAATTTGTCAAATACTCATAATTACACTTCTTAGGTGTCTTTCGTCTTTCGTCTTTCTACATCAAACAATTTTTATTACTTCTCTTATGTCATAGTAACCTTGTTTGTAAGGTTATCATCGTCGCAAGATGATTGTGATGATTCTCTCGCAGATAGAGAATTATGATAATATATTATCATAATTTTTTAATATTAAAAATTATTATAATTGTCACAATCATAAAAATCATGGTAATAATCTTATCGTGTTTTCTTTCATCATACATCTTACATCTGTTATTGATTGAGAAAATCATATAATCCGTCATTTGTAATATTTGTTTGTGTATATATATTCATACACACTTTCAACGAAGATTCAAGATAGTTGTTTCTTTCATACCTAACCATCTAGTGCCCAAATTCATGTTCAAATCTAACTAGAATGTTAAGTAGGTGCAAACATTCAAATAAAAATTTTAATTATTTATCATCTCAAATTATATTTATAAATATAGGACCTCATAATGCACAAACATCAATCGACTTGGGTTTTTGGAAGCTAATCGTGTTCGTATGGGACTACTAACACAAACGAAGAACGATTTAGGGTTCATATGGCAATGAGAATGACACCACAAATAGAACAGACTGTAAAGTTGGCCACCTAAAAAGCATACCGACCGATGGTTGGGAACATCAAGTTGCATATTGACATCTAAACCAACCCTGGTTTGATGAGACTCGCTTTAACACATATACACAAATACTTCCTTAAAAATTAAATATTTATTACAAATACAAGTATTATCTAATCGGATTCGAATATTTTTTTTTGTTTCCAAACACACACACATATACATATACATATACCTATACAAATAATCTTATTTGTTATAACGCTATCAGTTGCATTGATGAAAAATACAACATATGACATCACACGTTGGATCAATACAAAAATGATGAATAAAAAATAATTTTAACATTTCTTTTATTTTCAATGATTTTATTAATAAAAATATAAATTTAATATCTCGTATGCTAACACTTTTGTGTCGATCCAACTTACGATATTACTTTTGATGACGTTAGGACAAATAAAATTATTTATTTTACTTTTAAATTTATAAAAACCTCATTATAATTTTTTTAATACAAACAGAGCTTAGCCCCATGTTCTCCTTCCTTGTTATTAAGCATAGTATTGACTTAATTCATGCCCTTTCCGCAAGATGTTTAGTCCACTACTAATTAATTCAATAAAGAATAGTTTGAGTCACATCAAGTGTCCACTTATATATCCCTCATGCCAAACTCCACCAACCCATCATCAACATGAGAGTCCACCACAACAAATTTCTTGACCCAAACCCAATTCAAGTCTAATGGTTTGGGAATTTAGTGTGTGGTTAAGCATAGCATTTGTAAATGGGCACAAAACACAAGGAATCCCAATCACATGAATCACATGTCTCTCTCATTGATGATAAAAACATGAACAAACATCTCAGATTAATTTGCTTGGCAACAAGATTTATTGCTTTATTTGTGCTAACATAATTCTTGCCTTGACGCTAACTACATGAAGAACAAAGTCACCTTGGTGGCTTCCTCACCAACCATTCCAATTAATCTTTATTGGACACATTCACATGGAGGGGACAAAAATGTGTGGTCCTATTCTTTGTTTTAATGATAAGCACATAAATAAATAAATAAATTATGTCTCATCTACTGTCTTAATTTTTAAACAAGTTAGTAATAACTAATAATTTAGCATTGATTTTAAAAGGTCTCATTACTTGAAAAAGGGAAATAAGAAATTTATGGATTTATTGACATATTTCTTTCTTAGAAGTTACATGTATTGTGTTTTTCTAACCCTAATTTCATATGAAGATTCAAAGCATCATTAGTGAATCTTAACCTAATATTCTATTATTAGTATTTATTATTGTTATTACTGTTACATACTGTTATTTTTTATGTTTTAACCCATTTAGGATTTTCTCTACACATTTTTTACGAATCCATGCACCACTATGCAAGTTGTGTGAGACAAGTTTGTAATATAAGAAAAACTATTTGAAAATATAGAGTTAAGTAAAGTAATTTAAAATTTTATCATAAAATCTTATAATAAAAATATTCACTTTTTTGGGGGATAAGTTCCTTGGAGAAGCCCTTCTTTCCACGTTTTCTTTTCAAATTCCTCACGAAGTCTTAAACTTTTCTCAATTTATATAAAAAAAACTTTTTACTTTTTTATTCATTTTTCCCATCATTTTGATATTATTAAAAAAAATAGGATGTTTTTTTTGAGAAATTTCTTAAAGAGGAACACTATGCGGGGAAAAAAGAAAGGATTTTTTTTCCAGAGAAATTATCATATTTTTAATATTATATATTTATTTACGTGATTTTTCTAAAAAATTACTTTTTTTAGGCTTTTCTAGGTAGGTACCCTTATTATTATTATTTTCACAAATGGTAAATATCTCTTAGTCATCGTCTATCACTCAGTACTTTCGTCTTATCGAGGTCTCACTCTAATGAATATTTTTTATCTTCGCCTCACTACCTTTGCACCATCGTGAGTAAAGTGGCCTGGTTGGTCATGACATAAAGGTCTAACTTAACATTGAAGACATTGTAGAGGAGGTTCGATCATTCTTGTTAGAGGTTGGATCGCTCACCTTTAACTGCTCGAAACCCAAGCGAGAGCTCGATTACCTTGTGCTTCCCTCGTGATAGTCTTCGTTAATAATCTCTATCTCACCATCATCAATTGTCTCCTAATTCGTAACGATCTTCTTATATAGTGCAAAAGTAATATATCCTCACGATGAGAGTTGGTGAAAGTAACGAATAATCCATGACGATGTCACAGGGACAAAGGTGACAATAAAAAATGATGATAAGCGGAGCAAAGGTGGCAAGGGTGGGGCCTCACAGTGCGAGATAAATAACGTTGAAAGATATTTATGAGATTATAAAAAAAAGAATTAAAAAATTAAAAATAAGAGTATCTTTTGAAATTTTTTTTTGAAAAAGGACTTCTTCTGGTAAATCACCTTATTTATTTTTTAGAGAATTAAATTTTTTTTTGAATGTTTTCAATGGTGGGTCCACTGTAGTCGTGCTGGTCGTAACTTTGCTACCATCTTCCCACATTTATTTGCATACCTATCACCTTCCTTTGTACTCTTCCCTCTACCTTCCCATAGAATTCTCCTCCCACATGAGAGAGAACAGATCTCTCCATCTCCGACTTATATATTTGTCCCATCCTTCTCTTGTTTGAAAGGAGAAGCGTAACAAACCAAGCTTTCTCTTCCTCGCCACCGACGTCCCGCAGCGTCCGTGCGCACCACCAGCCATGGGGTTCACCGTCACCAAGGCGTCGGAGGGGTACGTCCGGCCGGCGGAGCCGACGCCGCCGGGCTCGCTGACCCTCGACTGGATCGGCCGTTACCCGACGCACCGCGGCCTCGTCGACTCCCTCCACATCTTCAAGCACGGCAAGGAGCCGGCCAAGGTGATACGAGAGGGTCTGGCCAAGGCGCTGGTGCCGTACTACCCCCTCGCCGGCCGCATCGTGCAGCCAGAGGGGTGCGAGCCCCGGGTGGAGTGCACCGGCGAGGGCGTCTGGTTCGTGGAGGCCTCCGTCGATTGCAGCCTGGCGGACGTCAATCACTTGGAGCGCCCCTTGATGCTCGCGCATGAGGATCTCGTGCCCTACACCGAGCTGGAGACCAGCCCCGCCGACACCATCATGATGATTCAGGTGAGCAGCTTCGTTCCCTTTCTCCTTTATGTTCTTTGATCTTTGCCTTGTTGCTGAATTCAGGGAGACGTGCCATAGGAATACAGATAGCTCAGGATTTAGATCTAGCATGATCTTGGCTTGTGGATCTACACCTCTAAATACAGTCTCTGATTTCTCGGGCTCCTAGATCTGAGAGGATGTATAGGGTCCAATTTGGTCAAAGTTCTTGAAGCGCCCCCAAACTTATTTGACCTTGTCGCCGCTCTTGTTTGACTTTCCATAGGCTATGAGAGCAGAGATCGAAACATTCAAAATGGAGCAGGTAAGTTGTTTGTAGAAATAACTATTAGACATATGGATCCACTTGAGTCTTGGCCTGGTCGGTGCTCCATCTATTCCATACTCTGCTAATTAGCTGGATCCCATGATGTAACTGAACAAGGTGAGAAGGTGAATTTGAGACTTGACAAATGGACACATAGGAAGGAGAATG